TGCTCTTCCAGGAAAAAAAAGCAGAAAAGTGGATGCATTCCCTGTAGTCTAGATGTACTCTGAATGAAGTCCTGATTCTGAATTCCAGCCAATTCCTTTGTGGGCCACAAGCAGTCTGAAACGAACCATCAAGTATAGGTCAGATGTAGGGGGAGGCACAGCAGAGGGTATGTTAAGCAGAAGAGGCTACAGTAGAATTCACTGATATCCCTCTAAGTTTGTCATTCCCTGGATTCCACCCTCACATACCATAAGATTTTTTCGAACTCCCAGTTTGCCTCAGAATCCATGAGGTGCTAAAATACACAGTCAACTTTAATCTCCACCCTTTAGCTTCTGTTCTGAGGATTTCTCATCCTGAGCTAAGAAAAACATTCCATTTTTTTAAAAAATGATTTTATTCTGCTTTTAAATATATGTACATACTAGAAGATTTACCATCTATCTTCTAAAATTTCTGCTGTAAAATCCATAAAAACTGTCAAAAAATAAAAATGTAAATACTTTTAATACTTTCTGTAAATACTTTCTGTTTCTTTTTTATTTTACAGGCAAACTCCAAATGCAGAATGGTAAGTTTGCTTTGATCTAAATGGTTAAAGTCCATTATGAAAACTGGCACCATTTCTTACCTCATTCCAAACATAGTCCACTATTTATTGGAGATTTTGCTTAATTTCCACCTGAGGTCTATTTTTGCAAATACTGATGGAGTTCATGTTTACAGTTCTCCTCCAAGCCAGCAACACATTGTACTAGATATTATAAAGTAGTTCTAACTGTTCTTGTTACTTCTTTAGTGCATGCACTGATTGGTTCTAGATCTCTCTGAATTAGCTAAGTAATTCTAGCTGAATATGAGAATAAAGCTTTCTGAAACAGTACATGGCATTCTGTACTCAGTTCGACCAGCAGTCGGGTTAGCTTTGGTCTGTCTTTCATCTCAAGTACCAAACCTGCTGCTTCTCCAGTTACAAGTAACTGTTGAGCTCAATCACACAAAGTAGCACATCACAGTCTGTAATCCCCAATTACTCACCCACCAACAGTATCCTTATTCACTGGTTCCTCTATAACCTCTCATTATATCCTGAGGGGCCCAGACTTTCATTCCCCAATGCATGCACACTTAGATCTTCCCTGTACTCAAAAAGAATTATTGGAATTCTGTGACTGGAGATTTATTTATTTCCTTCTGAGCTGTAAGAAGGCGGAGAACAACTGGTAAGAGACAGACACCAAGCTGAATGAGATAGCCACAGGAACAGAAGGGAGATGAAAAGATGAGGCAGGTGCATGGGCAGCCAGCTGGTGGCTATTTGCACATGTGCTGGGCCTGCATAATGATAGTAACTCTTGGTATACTGAAATTTCGAATTCAGACTTTTCTCCCTAATGAAATGTCAAACAATGTAGAATGTAGTTTAGATGCAAAGTTATCAGATATTGCATTTGAATTAAAAGAAGCCAAGTTGTGAATGTCTGTCTATTCATCTGCTCTTGATATACTCAATTTTCAGAGAATGAGAAAGCAGAAGACAATGAGCACAAAGGAATGATTGCAAATATTTTTGCTCTCTCGAGTCTGCCAATCCAGCTATGCAAGAAAACAATCCAACTCCTAAATCCTTTTGGTGAGGAATGGGCATTTTTACTTGTGGGAAGGATCTAACGGGTTGGACTGACTATTGTGACACCTCCTGCTGTTCAGTCTGGGAATTAGCTTTGCAGCTGAGTGCACTGCCTTTGGGTAGTGTCTCGCCTATCATCACTCTGTTGAGATGTGTGTGATGTCCTCTTAAGGATGCTGCCTTCCAGCAGTGTCCACCACTCCAGTCTCCCCCTTCTGGGGGTATCAGCTGTCATAAGAACATACTGGGTCAGACCAAAGATCCTGTCTATCCCAGTATCCTGTCTTCTGACAGTGGCCAATGCCAGGTATGAGAGGATACCACAACATCATCTGGAAGGAAGGTCCCAACTATGGGATAATTTCTCTTTGCTCTAGTGGGTTGATCTCCTTCCCTCAGCCTTTCACCCTTCTGAAGAGCACAGAGGCTGTCTGACCAGGAGTGGGACCTGGTGTCTTAGAAAGTCCCTGGAGTCTGTACATGGTCCTTGAAAGCCAGCAGCACCTTGCACTGAATTCATATCCTTGCCATCTATCCATAGGTGGCATGTTACATTGTGTGCAATAAACTAGGTAGCCTTCGTGGCCAACTCAGACCCAATATCTAGCCCTTTGCCTCAGGGGCAAGCTGCAGTTTGTAATTGTCATTCTCTGTTGTGTTAAGGTGCAGTGCAAGGAGGGTATACCCAAACCTATCCAGTACTCTAAATGCTGTGGCTCATGGACCCTCTGGCCACAGCCATATCAAGCCTGCCTTCTCTCCTCTTGTCTGCTTGCAATGCTCCCTGGACCACTTCTTCACGAGCCTTGCATCTTCTCTGTCATTTTTGTCAGGGGCATCAGCCTCAGACCTATCAGGCTGGAGTTTTCCTTCTACTCCCCTGAGCCAGCCTTGCAATGCTCTGTTCAAGGTGGCACTTCTTTAAGCTGCAAGCTAGCCCTTAGCCTTTGCTGGTTAGAGCTAGACTCAGCCCCTCTCAGCTCTGCAACCTTTTCATACATTTCAACTTTGCCCTAATTGACTGCCTTCTATCCTTACTTTGATGGGCTCCCTGTCACTTTCTGATGAGCTATGGATTTCTGCAGCCCTTTAAGGCTACGAGCACACCTCCCCTTTTGGAGAGTATTACCACACCACTGCAGAAGGGAACAAGTGCTCAAGTTTTGAAAAGAGTCAGCAATCTACATCTACATTGCCAGTTTTTGTGGCAGAAAATAATTTAATGAGGGACTCATTTGCATGTGTCACAATCTAATTTACATATTTTCTGCCTATCTGTTTTTGCACTGGGGGTTTTGTGCAAAAACAAGCAGTGTGGAAGTTTCCTTTTTGCACAAAAACCCCTTTTTGTGCAAGATCCTTACACCTCAAAAAACAGACATACCAATCTTGCGCAAAAAGGAAACATCCACACTGCTTGTTTTTATGCAAAAAGCCCTAGTGCAAAAACGGATTGGCAAAAAATATGCAAATGAGATCACAACTCATGCAAATGAGTCCTTCATTAGTATGTTTTCTGCCACAAAAACTGGCAGTGTAGACATAGCCCAAGAATTACAAAGATTCCTGCTCTTGTGCCTGGAAGAAGAGACAGACAGAATCAATTGACTTTCTCCCTCCCAAAACAGAAACTGTTTATCTAATCTAAACACATTCCTTTCTCAGATAATGAGAAAGCAGAAGTCAGTGAAGAAAAAGGAATTGTTGCAAATATGTTGGTTTTTCGGCATTGGCACAGCCATGTGTACAAGAAGATCTTCCGAACCCAAGATTCTTTTGGTAAGTAGTAGGATCCTTTACAGGGGAAGGGGTATAGATTTTCAAGTGTGAAAGAATCATCAGAAATGGTGACTTGAACTGACATGGATTCCTACTCTTGGGCCTGGAAAAAGTCTACACCTTCTTTTGAGAAAAAGAATTCTGTCAGCCGACGGTCAGGGCAGTGTGTGTGTGTATGCTTTCGAGAAAAGGTTTAACGTTCGTGTCTTTACTGCTAGGACTGGGGTCCCGTCGCAGAGGGTGGCCAGCAGGCCAACAGACGCCCCGTTGTATAGGAAGAGCTTATTACACCTTAGATTTTAACTGCTAGAACACAGGGGTTCCTTCGCAGCGGGCAGCCTGGGAAAGGCTGGAAAGGTGCCCCAATGGATCTTGTCACCTGGGGTGTGACACAGATCCAAACGCCCAAGCTCTTCCTATGCCTGTCTCTTTATGACCGGCTGAAGGTCTTTTAAATTGTTCTTGGTTCTGTTACAGCAACTGAAGGAGTCAGGTTAAAGCTTAAACAGTTACAGGTTTATTAAAAGACTTATAAAAGCATATGGTTACAATGGCTATTGCTCTATTTCTTAAATGCTAACAAATACAGATTTTAAAAATGGTTACAAAGAAAATAAAGATAGAAAATAGAAATAATGGTACCAAGTGACAGCTTAATCTTTAAAGAGCTCTAAGTCTATGTATATATATACTTAAACAAAGGTCCACATCCAGGTACAATTTTTACCCCTTTCTGTGCCTCTCGACTCCAGCGTGTCAGGCCAGGGCCGGTCTCTCAATTCCTAGGAAAGACGAATACGAGGTGGGCGTCCCCTTGGAACCTCGGGAGATCAAACACCAAACCCGACCAGCAGATAGATGATAGATTGACACTCAGAGAAAATGCGCTGCTGGACCTATCTTTATACCCCTGGGGGCCCGTATTCTCTTTCTTATCTAAGATGCCGAATTCTACTGGTCCGTTTTGTGGCGCCAGTTCTTACAAGCAAGTTTCAAGTTAATTTACACTTGCAAGAGAGATAACTAAATTGTGAGCACTAGACATTTTTTTACTGGGCGAGAGATTCCTCCCCCCGCGGATGGATGTGTGTTCGTATCAATATGGGTTTGAGTCAAGGGCACTCCTTGGCAGCCTCTTGGTCAGCAATTGGCGTATCTCTGTTTACAGCCACTCACGGTCACACAGCCTGAGTCTTCTGCCCTGTGTGCCCTGTATGCTCCAGGCAAGCAAAAATGGATGTTACAAGGGGGTTCCTGTCTGGCTACACAGACAGAATCAATTGACTTTCTCCCTCCCAAAACAGAATCTATTTATCTAATCTAAACATATCCCTTGCTCAGATAATGAGAAAGCAGAAGTCAGTGAAGAAAAAGGAATTGTTGCAAAAATTTTGGCTTTTCGGCATTGGCACAGCTGTCTGTACAGGAAGATCTTCCAAACCCAAAATTATATTGGTAAGTAGTGGAATCTTTTACTGGGGAAAGGATCTAGATGTTGCAGGTGTGAAAGAATCATCAGCAATGGTGAATTGGACTGACATGGATTCCGGCTCTTGGGCCTGGAATGGGGCAAAAGGTGGAATCTATGCTTTTCTCCCGCCCCCCCCTCCCCCCAAAAAAAGAAAATATGTACTTATTTTTACAAAATGGAGCAGCTCCAAAGAAGGAGTGTGGCTTGATAGTTCGGGCTTAATTCTCATTGGTAAATGGGTGGCTCCTTATGAGGCAGAACAGGGACTTAACTTTGTTTTTTCTACACCACCTTGGAGTACCCCAACCACTCTGCTATTAGATATTCTGGGTTTGGTCCTATTCAAGTTTTGAGCAGAAATTTCTCTGTAGACCTCAGAAAATTTTGAGATAAAATATGTTTGTCTGAAATATTTCAGTTTTGAGAATATGGTATTTTCAGACAGAAACAAGCCATTTGAAAATGTTTCCATCAATTTGAATTTCAGATGCTTTGAGGGCATGGATGGATGGACTGCTTCTGTGGATTCCTAGAGGTATTACAAGAGAGGCTGCATTTGTGATATTAGGCAGGATAGTAGTGGATGCAGAGGCCAGGTCCCAGGACTGAGGTTTATGATTGTGATGGTGAAAATAGATACACTGCAGACCATATTCATTATGGAGAGGCAGAGAAAGGAAGGAAATTGATCAGGTTAATCAGTTCTTCAAGGGCTGACAAATTTATTTGGGGGAAATAATGAATTATTGGCAAACACCGGACTGATGAGGTTACGGGTATATGTGCAAAGAATATATTAAAAGGACAAAGCACATAGAAAGTACCTATAGAAAAGTAGAGCTGGAAGGAGTCTCGAGAGACCATTTCATTCATGCATCTGTCAGAACAGTCTAAGTTTTTCTGGTTCATTCTCTGGGGCTGGAGAAGACCAGTTTGTGACACAGAGCTTCTGGTCATGTGGGCGGAGGAGAGCAAAAAGGCTGAGAGCGCTATATGGTCGGCCAGCAAGTGGCTGTACTCATATGTTCTGTGACTGCATGGCACCTGATGGAGATTGTGTCATGGAATTGTTAGCCTTCTTTTATGTCTCTATCCAAACTGACCTAGAGAAACAAGACTGTGATGTCCTTCCATTTGAACTCTACTCTGTAACTTACAGAACACAGAGTGCAAAGGGATATAACTTATTATAGTGGATATAAGGGGGATAATTTATCTATAAATGCAAAGTGGTCTTGCATTCTTGGATTTCACTGTGGTACAGAGCAAGTTGCATAAGTTACATTTGTATTTTGATCCTCTCACATCTAATTTTTAATTGCTCAGTAACTCTGTTCACATTCCCCAGAAAAGCTAGTCATTTTTAGCTGAATTTTAAAACATGGCTGTTGTAATTCTAATATTTGGTTTTGTCCCATAGGTGATGTCCAGGAGAAAATACGTAAGTTGATATTGGTTTGTGAACATCTTCACTTAAAGAGAAGTAGCTAGGAATCATTGATAGTCAGCTCGCTGCCCTTAAAAAAATTGTCCTTGATTTGGAAGTCTTTCTCTCTTTTTAACTTCATCAAAGAAAACCTCACACAGCCTAGGATGAGGATTCATGTATCTAGTTATTTTTCTTATTTGTGCTAGAGTGCTACAAATAGTAGGGAGGACACAGTGGCATTGGTGGAGGCTCAGCCTAACCCAGGGGAGGCAATAATTTTTGAACAAGGGACGCTTCAAAAAATGTTTAAGTTGTTGCAGGCCGCCCCAGAAGAGGGTGGGCCCTGGATGGAAGGGGTGAGGCCTGTAAATAGCAGGAGTTGATGCCAGGCATCATGTTAGCAGGAGATGGGAGCTGCGAGCCCTTTCAATTGCTTCTATTTAAAGGTGCTAGCTCATTTCCTCGGAGCCAGAGACACTGAAACCCTCTGACCTGCTACTATTGAAAGGGCTCGTGCTTTCCCCAAGGCTGTTGCCTGACAGGCACAAGGAAGATGTGACTCCTTTCAATAGAAGCAGTTAAAAGGGCTTGCATGTTTCTGGCTCCCAGGCAATGGGCTAAAATGCAGCTGGGAACTGCGAGCCCTTTCAATTTCTTCTGTCTAAAGAGCTTGTGCCTGCCGAACGGCTGCCAGGTAACACAGCCAGCTTGCAGGCGCAAGCCCTTTAAACAGAAGCAGTGGAAAGGGCTCCCAGCTCCCAGCCTGACTGCTAGCATGTTGCCAGGGAGCCAGGCAATGTGAGCCCTTTCCACTGCTTCTATTTAAAGGGCTCGCGCCTTCCCCGTGGCTGCCAGCCAATGTGTTGCTTGACACGCATTGGGGAAGATGCAAGCTCTCTATATAGAAGGAATTTAAAGGTCTCACAGGTCTCTGGATCACAGGCCAATGCACTAGGGGGCTGCACAGGCTGAATCAAAGTCCTAGGTGGGCCAGATCCAGCCCTTGAGAGTCTTTTGCTCACCCGTGGGCTAACCACTCAAGTACAATGGTGACCGGTACATAGAGCAGTGCCTAAGATCCATCTATTGCTTTAAATTTGGACACTACAGCACTTATTGGATAGCTAAAAGACAGTATTTATAGTCACATGTAAATTTGAGAAAGCCCTGGCTAGGTTGATTTAGTTGGGGTTGATCCTGTTTCAGGCAGGGGGCTGGACTTGATGACCTCCTGAGGTTTCTTCCAGCTCTAGGATTCTAAGATTCTATGATATGATTCTTTGAAATAAATTTTAATTTTATTTTTCAGAAGAGCTTCAAAGACAGATTGGTAGGTTTGCTTTGATTTTTGAAATTATTGTTAATCAGATTGAGCTCAATTAATTTGTATGTTCTTGGTATCTCTGGTGAGCCTTGTACAGGCTGAGGTTTCAAGCCATTTTCAGGAAAATAGTCATGATAATCTATGGTTGGGAGAAGGACAATTGTAAATAGTGCATAGAGGACAGAGTCTGCAGTTTTGTGAGGAGGTGACACCTTGATTTTATTTAGTTGTAGAGTGACAGATTTGGAGCTGTGACTGAATCTGTTATGAGTGGTGTGTAAGAAAGATGATGAATGCAACCTGGCAATTGTTAATGGTGGTGGTGTGCTGTGGCAGCTCTTTCAGCTACACTAAAGGGGAAGGTAACTTAAGATACACAACTCCAGCTATGTTCATATATAGCTGGAGTATTTTAAATCACTGTCCGTACAGCATGAGGTCAAAGGGAGCAAACACTCCCATCAGCGTCCCTTACTCCTCATGACAAGCAGGAGTACTGATGCCAACGGCGGTGCCCACTCAGGTCAAATTAGCAGGTCTTCACTGGACCACTAAATTGAACCCCAGAAGATTGACCAGCAATCTTCAGTGAATTAGAGACATGGCCTCCGTGGGGTAAGTAATTCCTGTTCACACAATCTCTAATAAAATCACATTGTTCTTTTGCAGACCAACTCCAGAAAGAACTTGGTAAGTTCTTTTTGATTTTTCAGCAGCTTTCTTGTCTATATTTATTTTAAATATTGGGTAGCCCTGTTGTAACAGTAGCAATTTGATTTTTTTTAATTCATAGTCTTAGCCACAATGCAACATCTTCATGCTGCGGTGACTACATAGACTTCTCCAAAAAAAGAAAAAAACCCAAAAACAATGGATCAGAGCACTAGGGGGTTCCTTTTGCTCTGGGAGATCTTTTTAACTATTATTTCACCCTGCTTCTTACCAGTGCAAATGTTGGGACAGGAAAGAGAGGAAATGCTTTAACATTTTTACTACCTACCATCTGCAATAGCCAGGGATCTTTGGGTTACCAAACAGTTCATTGCATTATTTGAGCTGGGGTATTCTGCACAGTGGCATAGGCTTAGACAGTAGTGGTTGGAAGGGAGAGGATGCTGGAGCACCCCCAGGTTTTGCACCCAGTGGCCATTCACTGCCCTCATTGGCTTCACAATCTGCAGGAATCCTGCTGGCCCCAGGGGCTATGTTGTCCCCAGGGTCCCCTGGATATTCCTCTGATATACAGGATACTGCCAGTGGCCTAAATCTCTGTTCCAGGCCTCAGCTCTGGGTCCTGCTGCTGCCCCCACTCTGGCCCCAGCCTGGGGTTGAAGGGTGTGAACAGGTGTAAGGGGCAGTTCAGCTCTGTACCCACACCCTAAAAATAATTCCTGCACCACTGCACAATGTGGAAAACCCACTGCAGAGCCACTCAGAACTGGCAGATAGGATGTAAAAAACAAAACCTTTCCTCACTTCTTTTTCATTAACCACAACTCAGGATTTCCCTTATAGCTCACAGCCTGGTGCGTGGGCATTAAAGTGAGAAATGTGACATCCAAGTTCAAATTCCTGATCTGCCTCAGGCAGAGGATGAGAGCTGGGTCTCCACATCCAGAGATTGTACTTTAACCACTGGGCTAAAGGGAGGCTGTCCTCCTCCCCAGCTGTTTTGTATGGAGTTAGGCATGTACTTAAAGATGGCATTAAGCATTCTTTCCTACCCATGTGCCAACAAGGAATTGTGATTTGAATGCAAAAGGAGGTGTCGCTCTTGTTGAGGATCAAGAAATGATGACCCCCAACAGTGTCACATTGTTGACTCATATTTAGCTGGGGTCCACTATAATCCCCAAATCTCTTTCTGCAGTACTCCTTCCTAAACAGTCACTTCCCAGTTTGTATGTTTGAAATTTGTCTTTGTCCTTATTAAAGTTCATGCTATTTACCTCCCTTTTGTGCAGATCATTTTGAATTAAAATATTATCCTCTAAGACACTTGCATCCTCTCCCACCTTGGGACTTCTTTAATTCAATGGATTTTATTTCTCATTCTGATTTCAGAGTGGAGAAAGGCTCGCAATAACACAGGTAACAGAAAATGCATATCTTCCAGATTGAAGCAATCATTGTATTAATACAGCAATGAATCTAGAAACATGCCATACAAATGATGTTATACTGAGAACAAATCCTTAGATCCATACTCAGTTTTCACAGAGTATTTAGTTGGGGAGTGAGGGGAGATTCACATTTATATCAGGACCTGTGTATGACCTCATACCAATTTCATAATAAGAGTACAGATGTGAAGGGTTATAATAATGTGTTATGGCCAAGAATAAAGTGTGTTATATCATGATGGCATTTGACATGATGGGAGTGAGGGTGTTGATTTCAGATTAATGCTGATTAAGGTGATGGTGGAAAAATGAAAATGGTACTACGTGATCATTAAGAGGTTGATGAAAGAGTTGAAATGATGGGGATTTATGCCAGATAAGTATATGTCAGTCATTATGATAACTTGCATTTTATTGCAGTTTTCTTCTGATCATCTCAAAGCTTTTTGCAAATATTAGTCCAGCAAGATCTGTCTCTCAGTGAAGCTGGTTTTATTCAATCAGTCAGTGTCAATGAGGAACAGAACTCAGAAGTACTGATGCTCAATCCTCACATCTAGGTTCTAGACAAAACATTATTATAAATACTAAGGTATGCCAGTATGATATTGATGGTACAATAAAGACAATCAAGAAGAACAGTGAACCAATATAATAGGTGCAATATTTTGGAGATTATTTTTTCCTATTTTTCATCAGGGTACTTAAGAAGGGTAAATATTAAACACACACAATAGTGGTGACTCCTTCTCTGAGCACATCTACTTATATATAGCTATTACAGACCCATGATATTAGAGAGACCAAATGGATGAGCCTCTGTGGGCAATAAAAAGAGCTCTGTGTGCCTTGAAAGTTTGCAAACAGAATTTGATCCAATATAAATATTTCCTAACATACATTGTCTCTCTCACCTCTCTTGGATCAGACCCCAAAGGTAGGCTACGCAGGAGACCACATATTTTGTCAATCCAGATAGGACTTGATGAATGACACTCATATGGGCAAAATGCAAGTCTAATATTATATAAATTCTTGTTATGGCTGGAGGTTTTAGAGCAGACTGAGGGGCTAGGATTCTATCCACCATTGAATTTTTCCTCTTACCTGTCTTAAGCTAGAATATTCAAAGTGTTTTATATTGCACCCTAGGGCTGTGTCCAGAGTCAGGGTTTTTTTCGAAAAAAGTAGCCTTTTTTCGAAAAAACTTCCCCTGCGTCCAGACTCAAGCCGCGTTCTTTCGAAATTAATTCGAAAGAACGCGGCTTTTCTTTCGATGGCGGTAAACCTCAATTTACGAGGAAGAATGCCTTCTTTCGAAAGTTCCTCTTTCAAAAGAAGGCGTTCTTCAATGTAAATAGGGCTTCTTTGAAAGAGAGCATCCAGACTCACTGGATGCTTTCTTTCGAAAAAGCAAGCCGCTTTTTCGAAATTTCTCCGTGCAGTCTAGACGCTCTCTTTCGAAAGAGGCTTGCAGTCTAGACATAGCCGTACAGACTAACTTGGCTACCCCCTGAAGCGACTCAAAGAATTGAAAATCACTTTCAGTTTTGTATGAATGTCAAACTCCAATGTATGTGAAATATTTCAACACAACAAAACACTTTGTCAAGCATGTTTCAACCTGGCAAATTTTCCAGTTGAAAAAGAAGTGCAGGAGGGATCTATGCTGTAAAGTTCTCATAAGCCATCTGAGACAGACATGAGATCAATGCTTTTGAAAAAAAGCCATTCTCTCTTTGCAGATGACATCATTCTTGATACAAACACAGCCCACCCCAACCTCTATATTGCTGAGGATAGGAAGAGTTTTTCTTATGAAACCAAACCACAACAAGTTCCACCAAATTCAGAGAAGTTCGATTCAGCTGTCTGTGTGCTGGGCACTGAAGGATTCACCCATGGAAAGCACTACTGGGAGGTGGATGTCGGGAACATCAGTGACTGGGACCTCGGTGTGGCCAGAAAATCCATAAAGAGAAAAGGGAAAATTTCTTTGTCCCCTAAAGAGGGATTCTGGGTTCTGAGTGTCAGTGGGAGAGATTATTGGGCAAAAACAGATCCATGGTGCCGGGTCACGGTGCAGAAAAAGCCCAAGAAAATTGGAGTTTACCTTAGTTACAATGGCAAGCAGGTGACCTTTTTCAATGTAACTGACATGTCTGTGTTGTTCACATTTAATGATTGTTCATTCTCAGAAGAGGTTTGTCCTTTCTTTAAAAATTCTCACAAAGAAACAACAATGAGAATTGCTTCAATTAAAGAAGAGGAATTAATTTAAAATACCCTTGAGTCTCTGTTTTGTCGATCAAACTAAGCTAAAGACCCCTGATGTGTCATGGTAATGTTACCAATCTGAACCAAAGTAACAGACTGTTTTGCAGCCAGAAGAAAAGTAATTTGAAAAATCATTGCCTGTGAAATTATAATTACATATATTGCTAATGCCATATGGATGGCTTCCCATATAAAGAATGGAACTATACTGGGAATTGTAAAACTGAGTTCTCACAAACAGAACTGTTAACTAGAAAAGCAATTTATTTTCATTGTTTAGTGATAGCTTGTCTGGATATAGTATTTCATAGCAGATAAGAGTAATCAAACAATATCCTATTATTATACTAATATCTGTACTACATTGTATAAACAATCTTTTTATTAATGGAAATTGATAGAGCTGAATTATTTGATAAGTCATATTAGTGATGTATATCAAACCCATAGTTGTTTATGCTGATACATCATTGTGGAACAAAAGAAGAAAAGCTGTTTACTTTGGTGATGTTACCCTATCTGTGCAATTTTCATAAAATAAGTGATCAGCCTCTTAGCAGTCACTGATACCTGCATAAGCTTTTGAGCTTTCTAATACAGAAATGTTTGAATTTTACTAAGGAAAAAGCATCACTGCTTGGTACTGTCCTTGGAAACAACATAGCACCAATATTATTGCTAATTTAATGTCAGCATATCTCTGTACAAGACATGGACCAGATTAATTTCTGATTAAAAAGTATAACCTGGGTCTGTATTAAAATGAGTAAGTCTCTCTTTGTGCATGCCCTCCCCCTGCCATCAGGAGTCACAAAAGCTCAGCTACCATCAAAACCAGCAAGGAGCCTATAAAAGCAACTTTACCCTTCACAGGTAAATGAAGTTCAGAGAAGGTAGGTAGTAATTCTGTTCACCCACTGATACAGAGGATGTTCCACCTATGAATGCATCTACACTTCATTCTTAATTCTATGGCAAGTAATGTTTACATATATACATAGTCCCCTTAGGACAACTATAAATAATAATACTGATAGTGAAGCATGGATTTAGGTACATGGAGCAAAGACACACCTGATTGGTGGAGGTATATACCTGTGTAAATACCCTAAAGTAGGTCTACACTATGGGATAAGGTCAAATTAAGATATGCAACTTCAGCTGTGTTATTTGAGTAGCTGAAATGGTATCTTAACTCAAATTTTGGCACAGACCACACAGCAGCTACGACTACACTGCCGTTTTTTGTGTGGAAGAGGCTATGCAAATCGTGCTCTCATTTGCATATCTTCTTCTGATTCTTTTTGTGGAAGAGCTTTTGCTGATAAAAAGTCCCATGTAGATGGGGCCATTTGTCGGGGAAAAAGGTTTTTCCCTTCTTATCCTCTTCTGCAAAAAACCAACAGAGTTGCTGTAGCCTAGAGGAAATTGAAGGAAGCACATTCTCCCTTTGATTTCCCTTACTCCTTGTGGAAGCAGGACTACCAATATCGACTGGAGTTCCACTAATTCAAATGCTGGAAGATCAACAGTGACAGCTTCGATCTCTGTAGTGTAGGCATCCCCCAAAACAGCTCTTTACAGAAGTGGGCTGTGTCTACACTGGGCCACTTATTCCAGAAAGGCAGCTGCTTTTCCGGAATAACTTGCCAGCTCTCTATACTGGCCGCTTGCTTTTCCGGAAAAGCAATGACGACCTACTGTAAAATTGTCAGTGTTTTTCTGGGAAAACTATGCTGCTCCCGATCGGGCAAAAGTCCTTTTCTGGAAAAACTGTTCCGGAAAAGGGCCAGTGTAGACAGCACAGTAGTGTTTTCCACAAAAAAGCCCCAATCGCGAAAATGACGATCGGGGCTTTTTTCCGGAAAAGCGCGTCTACATTGGCCACGGACGCTTTTCCGGAAAAAGGGCTTTTCCGGAAAAGCATCCTGCCAATGTAGACCCGCTTTTTCCAGAAATATTTATAACAGAAAACTGTTCCGTTTTAAGCATTTCTGGAAAAGGGTGCCAGTGTAGACGTAGTCAAGAGGTGAAAGCACATCCTAGAGCAGCTTTACAAGTTTTTGATCAAGAAATGTAGATGGACTCATGTTGAACTGAGGTTCACATAGTCAGCAAGTGGATTTAACAGTGAGGAGTAATGGTAGTTCGGAATAGGAAGCCTAATCCGAACTACCTAGTTCATGTCACGTGTAGCCGCGGGCACGGAGTCCGAACTAGCAGACATTTAAAAATGGCGGAGCCCGGCAACATGCAAATGAAGCCCGGGAAATTCAAATCCCGGGCTTCATTTGCAACTCCGGTTGCCTACATTAACCACCCTAGTTCGAACTAGAGTGGTAGTGTAGACATACCCTTGGTGATTCCCCTCTTCCCCATCCCTGGGAAATATCTCATTTTTTCTACATTCTCCTTGAGGAAAAGGATCTAGTCTGAGAATTGCTTCATATTTGTGTATACCATTGCTTCTGTAAAGGAATCCCAAGAGTGCCAATTTTAGCTCAACCATGGTGTATTTGTTTTTAAAAAGTACTTTACAAAGAAAACATTACATTTGTCTGTCAGTCTGAAGCTGATGAATTTTAATATGACAAAATTGTGGTGTGGCAAAAAGAGGGACAGACAGCTACCTTAGTCTCTCAGGCCAGGTTGACACTAGGAAACTATTTAGAAACTAGCCAATTAGCCCGTCATAAGACAGGATTTTCAGATCTTCTTTCCTGAGCGCTCGCTCTCTCTCTCTCTCTCTCTTTCTCTCTCTCCTACTGCCTACCCCCCTCTCTCTCAGCTCTCCTCCGCCTCCTGCCCTCTTTCTCCATCTCTCCAGTGGGAGGGGAGTGGGGCAGTGATGTATATGGCAAGGGGGCGGGGCCATGTACGTCACAGCCCTTCCTTCCCCTCCCACCGCAGGAGAGCAAAAATGGTCCCTTGCGCTGCTGGCTCCCCCGGTGGCCCGGCTGAGGGGCGCACCATTCAGCTGAGTGCCACAGTGGGAGGAGAAGGGGGCGGTGATGTACATGGCCCCACCCCCTGGCCGTGTATGTCACTGCTCTGCCCCCTTTCCCTCCCTCCATGGTGGCTCGGCTGCTTGCCGCCACTTGCTCCCCCACTGCGGCCCAGCTGAGCTCTGCTCAGGTGGGCCCGGCGGGAGCGGCGGTCAGCTGGGCCCGGGGCGGCAAGCATCCCTTTGGGGTCCACATTCCCCATGTGTGTGGAGCGCGGACCCCAAAGGGCCACTTGTTGCTGCTTTGTCCCCCACTGGGGCCTGGCGGGAGCGCCGCTCAACCGGGAGCGGCGCAGCGTGCAATAACACGCCAAGCAGGGAGAGGAAGGGGGCAGGACTGGCTGGAAGGGGGGTTGAAAGCAGAGCTGGGGGGGGATTTGGGGCTGTGGGG